ACAGGCTGATTTAATGTAAAAAAGACATTAGTCAGGAGATAAAATTGCTAAAAGATGAGCACTGCAGCACAGGCAATAGAGTAAAAGAAATAAAATGGTTACCCTCATAAAAAAATCTAGAAAGATATTTTTCTCTGAAACATTTATAAATTTCATCTCATATATTAACATCCATTAAAAGTTAGCTAGATACAGTAAGTAGGAATGCAAAAATGTTCTATTTTTTAAGGACAATAAACAAAAATATTAAAGGAAAACACTGCCAAACTGTAGAAAAAAGAAGACTGAAACTTCTTAGGGTTCCTAAAATTAAGTCAAATAAAGAAATAGACATGTTCTTGAGGCAAGATGGGATGTTTCTGGTATGATGACTATTTTATTTGTAGGATGAACCGATATAGGATATTGCAAATAACAGAAAACTTTCTTAATTCTTCTTTTAATCTAATGAGTTATGGGAATAAACTTGGAAGAAGATTGTAACTCTAAGTCTTTATAAGGAAGTAATGTAGATTGAGTTTTCAATCCAATTAGAATCATGCAATTTTAGAGCTAAGGTTGTTTTAAAGAGGTAAAAACAGTTCATAAAGAATTGATCCCACGCCCGTCAGAATGGCTATAATTAACAAGACAGGAAACAACATGTGTTGGAGAGGATGTGGAGAGAAGGGAAGTCTCATACACCGCTGGTGGGAGTGCAAACTGGTCCAGCCACTATGGAAAACAGTATGGAGATTCCTCAAAAAATCAAGGATAGAACTACCATATGATCCAGCTATTCCCCTGTTGGGTATTTATCCAAAGAACTTGAAAACACCAATTTGCAAAGGTACATGCACCCCTGTGTTCATTGCAGCGTTATTCACAATAGCCAAGACTTGGAAGCAACCTAAGTGCCCATCAAGGGACGAATGGATAAAGAAGCTGTGGTATATATACACAATGGAATACTACTCAGCCATAAGAAACGATGAAATCCAGGCATTTGTGACAACATGGATGGACATTGAGGGTATAATGCAAAGTGAAATAAGTCAGAAGGAGAAGGTCAAATACCGTATGATTTCCTTCATTAAGTAGTAGATAATAACAACAATAAACAAACACATAGGGACAGAGATTGGATTGGTGGTTACCAGAGGGGAAGGGGGGAGGGAGGAGGGTGAAAGGGATAATTCGGTACATGTGTGTGGTGATGGGTTGTAATTAGTATTTTGGTGGTGAACATGATGTAATCTATGCAGAAATAGAAGTACAATGATGTACACCTGAAACTTTTACAATGTTATAAACCAATGTTACTGCAATAAACAAAAAATTAAAAAAAAAAAAAAAAGAATTGATCCCAAGTGATTAAACAAAGCTGGTTAATTTGCTAATTCTTATGGCATTTCTCTTTGAATAAATAACTATAGAGTAAAACCTACCACCACTCTTTTTATCTGGAATTGAAAGAAGATAGAATTAACAGGCCAAGAGAAATTTTAAATAACCTAGGTCATTAGTCTATTTGAATGTTTGTGTACACACACATACAAACTTGTTCATACATTTTTTAAACTGAATAACGTGTACTTCAAATGGAATAAAGATGTCTAAATTAACCTCTCCTTTAAAAAGATCTCAGTAAAAGAATGAAGCAAATGTTGGAGAACATCATCCTCCTGTAATTTAACATATCCATCTAGTGTGAAAATTTGTCCTGCTCTCTTATCCTATCAATCTAATCCATCTAGCAGATCTGTCCAACCCACCTAATGTATTGCATGCTTTTCCCAACATTTGGACCAAGTTAATGTCCTGTGTAGTTATAATTGAAGCAAGAATTTTAAAAGCAGCCTTAATTGTAGACTAATAACATTGCAATCTATTATTCTATCAATAAAGGAACTGGAATGCATTGTTTTCTAAGGTCCGAAGCAACAATGGTACAAAACGTTTAAGAAAATGCAATCAGGATGAATAATATAAGTTGGTATGTTTATTTCTACAAGGTCTTAAGGCTCCATATTTAAGAAAGAAAAAAGAAGTAGATCAAATTCAAAATACATTACATATGTATTTTCAGATATCAAAGAAAATTTAATCTATGGTAAATTCTTATGTGAGCATTTGATTATGTATGCCTTGACTAAAATAAATTTTATAATAATATTTGTCATAAATTTGATTTGCCTTCCACCAAAGCAAGTTCGATTTTTACTCTTCTTTCTCCTTGTCCTAAGTTGCCAAGGAAAAGGAAGAAGTGCAAAGAAGAAGAAAACATTTTTAAAAAAGTATATGGTGGGGCTGGCCCAGTGGCGTAGTGGTTAAGGTCGCACACTCCGCTTCGGCAGCCCGGAGTTCACGGGTTCAGATCCTGGGCAAGGACCTACACACCGCTCATCAAGGCATGCTGTGGCAGCATCCCACATACAAAATTGGGGAAGATTGGCACAGATGTTAGCTCAGGGACCATCTTCCTCACACACAAAAAAATTATATATATATATATATATATGGTAAGGATTTATGTGGGGAAGAAAAGGATCTGTTCTACACTTTTAATCTTCTATTTCTACACATGCCACTACATTAGTGCTTTCCATAATTGTTTGAACTATCTCTCAATAGACTAATTTAAACATATTGTGACTTATTATTATTAAGTATTTGTAAGACTGTCCCAAATTAACAATTTATAAAATATACTTTAGAACTATGTTTTTAGCTATGCTAGAAGCTGTGAAAATGAATTCCTTTCAGCATGTCAGTCTAGCATGTCACTTATTTTGCCTAAAACATTCCCTCCTTACCAGACTTTTCTTTAAATAATAGCCTGATGGGTTTTGACTTCATCAGTATCAATTATCTGTACTAATATTAGAAAGAGGACAAATACACAAATTTAATATCTCAACACCTCTTAATGTTTCCCCCAAATTACTATCAGTGTAGCATTATTTCCTTTAGGGACCATTGGGATTTTTTTACTCTGTGAACCAGTGGAGGCCAGCAGCTTAACATTTTTGATCAAATAGAAATTCTAAGCTTTCAAACTTCTCACAATCAGCAAAATTGCTATTAACAGTCAGAACACTTGGTTTCTGATTCTAGTTCTACCAGTAACTAGTTGTGCGATCTTGGGCAAGTCACTAAACTTGGTCTTAGGTCTGTGGAATACAGTTTCTGTAGTCATACCATTTCTAGGACAGATAATTTTTAAAGCACTTTATTTCAAAAATGTTCTGACATAAATTATAGCGCTCCACGCTCTGGAGCAAGAAATCCATCCATTTCAACATTTTATCATTACGACAGAGCTTAAAAATCCACATTATGAATGTAGTGGTCATAATCCTGAAATAATTCCAGAAAAAGTACTGAAGGTGTTGGCTAAATTTAAATGTCAGAACACACTGCTTATTGAGCCTTCCGCATATTTATGAGTTTAAATATATTTTTGCAATTCTGTTTAACAAAAGACTGTCTCAGTCTTATAAAAATTATAAAATTTAAAAAATATTGGTACCCTCATCAAATTACAAAGAAACCAAGTGACTTGAAAAGGGCCAAATTGCTGACTATGGAATTCTATCTTATTTACAATCAGAAATTGCTATAACAGTTTTATTATCTCAGGTTTGCAATAATTAAAAACATTTAAAACGTAGATAACCTAGTATCATCAACAAAACTATATTCAAAGTCAGTGTACTTAGACTGAACATGAAATTCAATGAACAGTTTTAAATCACTGAATTGAATAACCACACTCCAGAAAGGAATAGTTAGAGATCACATTAGAAACGTACTGCTCAGAATTACAGCTAAGGAAGGCAAAGACTCTCGGTTGGAACATCTTGCTGATGTTCCTCTGCCTCACTGAAGCTGTGACCAGCTCACTCAAACCTCAGGTAGCATAAGATATGTAAGCCCTGATTGGGTTATCTAATCTAGGGTAAAGAAATTAAGTGTATCTGACCCAATTAGATAAAATGGGATAAACTTTTGGCAAAGAAGTCTAAACATGATTAATACAGAATAATTTTGACATGTTTGCTTCTGTCATTTATGATACTTACACTCATAAAATATGCTGGATTCTCATGATATAACTTTCAAGAGAATGGTGAATTTCTCCCCAGATAAGCTGGGTGCTAATCTAACAGTTGCTTCCAGATGGATGATGTTATGTGGGGTTGGAGTCATAGCTCCACGAATCTGATTCCTTTTCTTGCTAGTCATAGCAAGTGTGCATTGAGCACTTTCTATGAGTCTTGACACTATGCCGAAGCTCTCCATCCATGATTTCATTAAAGCCTCATAAATACTCTACGAAATAAGTGCTTTTAGAAAGAGAAACAAATTTTGTCAAAATTCATGCTGCTAGCAAGTGGTGAAGACAGGATAACCCTGGGCAAGTTACTTTTTCCTTTTGTTACTAATACGGTTGCTTTTTTCCTTCTTTATTGATGCTTCTCATCATTGCAAATTTCCACATAAAAAAATATGGAGGTTATAGAGCCTTCTTCTCCAGGGAATACCAAGGTGAAATTTGACTTGAACACCAAATCATCACCCACCCTAACTTCCACCTTTATCTCACACGGCTCTTGAGCATACAGTAAAACCGTTCTCTCACCACTGCTCTCTAACTGAAAACCTCTTATACCTACTGCTTTGGTTCCCCTGCATTTCCTCCATTAAGAACACTCACAGGTGCATTTTAAACATTAAAGATTAGAGAAAATGAAACATTTGTAACATTTCTCTGCCATAATTTCCTTTCAGCGATAGGATGAAAATTACTGTCAGCTTGCTTAGACCGAAACTCCCGACACAGTAAGGCGAGTAACAGGGCCACCACCTGCAAGGTTCTCATGGCACAGGAGGCAATACGTCACGAACTTGGCTGACAGTAATTTTTACTTTGGAGCTCATTTTAGTTAGGTCATCTAAGAATGAGAAATAAAATATACTTTTTAACTGGAAGTAGGTATGAAATTATGATCGCTGACCTGGATCTGCTGCTGAAGCAAATTGATTTTGTGTTGTTGCTGCAGAAGCTGCTGCTGCTGTCTTGCAATCTGTGGAGAAATTGCATACGAAAAATTTAAAAGTATATTGTAGTCCCAGGGGGAAATTACCAATGTTCTGTTTCTCAAAGTTTGATTTGGCACTGATTAAGATGATGAAAATAGATGTGCCTGTGCCCCTACAGTACCAGCAATTCATCCTTAAGTAGGATCAAACAAGACAGTCTTCAGGAACAGTTATGTTTCTTTTGGCCTAAAACAAATGAAGCCTAAGACACTACAGCAGTGATCCAATCCAGTATGAAATGTTAGAATTTCAAAAATCCCTCTTCCTGGCAATATATTAAGAAGGTACTGCCTCCGACATTTTCAGCCCTTTTCTGTGAAAGAGAGTATCGCATAAACGGGGTTGTCGTGACCGAGGAGTTCAGAGCAGCAAAAAATCTTCTAAGATGCTGAATTCCTTAGTGACGTTTCAGTATTTTTTTTTGTTTTTTGATAAATACTATCCTCATTTCTGCCTACACAAACCCCTCAACTGCCAACTCCTCAACACACTCAATTCTGGTTTCTGCCTCCACTCTACTAAATAATTCTTAATAAAGTCATTAGTCACTTCCATTTTTTAAATTCCCACGTGGATTTTAGTTCTCACTATCTGACCTTTCATCAGAATTCAACACTCAAGTGCTTTCCCTTGATCCTGAACTGTCTTCCTTGGCTTGCTATGACACCCCATTTTCCTGGTTTTGCCCCTACCTCTCAGTCTATTCCTTCTTCATCACCTTCAATGGCTCTTTCAATGTTGTAGTTCTATAAGGCTCAATTTTGCACTCGATTCTTTTCCCTCTATACTTCCTTCCACATGTACGCCATGTGCTTATAAATTTGTGTCTCTAGCCTAGACCCTCGCTTTAAGCTTCAGACTCGTTTATCCAATGACATTCTCAAAGGTACTTCAAATTCAACAGGTTCAAAATTAAACTCGGGACTTAGCCCTCAGTGTGGTCATCTTAAGTGTTTTCTAAGCCAGACTAGCACAATCACACCATTATTTGCTCTCGTAACACCCTCTACATACTCAATAATACACCACATGCTACAATTTTTATTTATTTTTGTTTTTGTTTTAGTATCTTTCTATCTCCTAGGTAGAAATCCATAAATACAGTGAGGTTAGGGATGATGTATATTTTGGTCACCATTTGTAACAAAGCCTCGTGCAAAAGGAGTACAGAATGAATATCTGACAAAGAATGCATGAATTAATAGATAAGAAAATTTCGAACACTTCATTACATGATATAGGGTAGGAAGCCTTCTCATGAGAATGTAACTTCTAACCTTAAGAAACTTATTGCTGTTTTATAAATAAGCTCTAATTCTTATTCTCATTATGTTATAATCACTATTATATCCATTACAAAAGTATATCCCTTAACTTTTGTATAAGAAAACTAAAAATTCAGGAAAAAATTGATAAACGCAGAGTCCATTACTATGAATGAAAGTAAAGAACCTAGCTATATGATGAGGATGGGTCTACATGGCTGCCCAATGACTATTTTATTTTCCTATGGACATCGGTACAGTTATGATTATTTTAATACTTTCATTTATCTTAGGAATATGGTTTAAAAAATTCCTTTTTTGGTCCTGAAGAAAGGTAGCAAAGGAGATAGTATAAAAAGAAATATCACTCTTTTTCTTAAGTCTGGTTCTTTCCTTCCACATATCAATATTTCAGCTGATATTTAAATCTTTTTATCAGCACTTTAAGAATTTATCAAGAAACTGACCCCACTTCCTACTCCTCCACACTTCCTCCTGTTCCAAGCCACTGTTATCTCTTGCCTGGATTATTGGACTAGCCTCCTATTTGCTCTTTCTGCCTATTATAAACCAGCATCTGGAGAGATCCTTTTAAAATATAAGTTGTGTCATGTTATTCATCTTTTCAAAACCCTGTGTCTCGCTCAGAGTAAAAACCAGTGTTCATACAATGCCTGCAAGGCCCTATATGATTTGGCCTCCTGCTACCTCTCTGATTTCATCTCCTCTTCCCTTTGTCATTCCACTCTTGCTATATTGTTCTCCTAACTGTCTCCTGAACACACAAAGGATCCTCCTACCTCTCAAGAATACTCGTGCCTCTGGGCCTCTGCATTTGCTTTTTCCCCCATGTGGAACACTCTTTTCTTAGATGTGCACTGTTCACTCCCTCATCTCCTACAAGCCTCTGCTCACATGTTACCCTGTCAATGAGGTCTTCCCTGAACACCCATTTTAAAAGAGCCTCTCTCTCTACCTGGCACCCTCATCCCCAATTCTCTGCTTTATTTTTCACCATAATCCTTATCAATATACTATATTTTACTTGTTTACTTATTATCCAACTCTTCCCAACTAGAAATCAATACATGAGGGATTTTTGGGCTCTAGAAACCTGACCTGTAGCTATCAGGAAGGATCTTCTCTCAGGCTGTGTAGGCATCTTTGCATGGCATCTCTCAAATACAGGGGAGAAATTCTTGAAGAAACTAAAGACTTCTAAAGTTCCAAGGAGAATGTCAAGGAAATAAAAAATTCTAGAATCCTTTGATGATATTTGGGGATGGGCCAGAATATGGAAGAGAAAGAAAGGAACCTAGCTCTCCATTAGAGCATCATCCAGATTTCTTAGGACAAGTGTACCCTCAGACCTACCAAAGTAGGGATTCTTTACAAAGAAATATCCCCATCTGAGCTACAGTTTCAGAGGTTCCTAGGCTTTTCTAGAATTCAGATGTCTGAAGGTATTGAGAGATATGAACAAGAAAGGAGTGGTGTTTTTCTAGGCTTTCATAGGCAAGCATCCTGAACTGTTTTATCATAGGGGTAAAGCAAGAGAAATATGGGCCATATCCAATAACAGGCCAAATATATCTTCAAGGAAAATGATGAGGCATTTCATTAAAAATAGAAATATCTTTCGGGCAGAGCAGAACTACCAAGTAGAGAAGAGTAAACTGAAAGAAAGGAGGTCTCCTCAAATGTAATCTGAGTATTTCTTCACCTCTTTCAACTGTGCTAGTTTACATTTCGAAAACTGTTTAGAAGGTTTTGCAGTATTTGTGTGGACAGACAAGTATCCTTGACTAAATAATGGATCTCTTCCACTTAGAATGGCGAGCGGACTGAACCCAGAACGTTGGATGGTAAAGGGAGTTAGCCCTAGAAAAAATGCGCCATCTTTATATGTAAGCTCACCCTATGACACCCTCTATCTTCCCTTCCCATTACTACCAATTTTCTTTAAGTAATAGTTCTTATGCATTGCCTCCATTTTTCCACAACATATCAACTCTTCTATATGTCAATTCTTACTGTCTGATTTCTGCTACTACAGCTCCATAGAAGCCACATGCTTTAAGGCCAACAATGAGAATCTAAGTGACAGATCTACTAGCTTCTTGCTTCTAGATATGTTCATTTTCCTCTCTCTATCAACTATATCTCAGTATCTTCCAAAGATCTACCCTTAGTTCCTTTCTATTTTCTCATGATATCATCACAACTATAATTTAAGGCCTATAAACCTGCCATTACTCTACATGAAACACTCTGGCCCCAGATGTTAATATGGCTGCCTCCTGTATGTTATTCAGATCTGAGCCTAACTGCCAGATTCAATTGCCCAATCTAAGAAACACTGCCTTGCCATACCAATCAATATTTATCAAATTACTCTTCTTACATTTCTTCAAATTACTTATCACTCTCTGAAATTATTTTGTAAATTTCTCTTTTCCTTTGTTAATCGTCTTTCTCTTTCCAATAGCATTGAAGGGCTTTGTCTTTCTGGTTAACTGAGGTAGCCTCAGCAGTTAGCACAGTGCCTGACACATAAGAAGCATTTGATTACTGTTTGTTGAATAAATGAATAGAACTCGTCTACTCCAGTGGTTTAAACTACCATCTCCATGTAGATAATCTAAGAAATTTAGCTCAGCTCTCTTTTACAAACTGTTGATTGGGATTCTACCTGTCTCTCACATACTTCCCAATGGACAACATGACAACAGCTCTAATTCAACATAATAAAAATACCTGCTTTTCCAAATTTGGTCTCCTCCTGACTTTCCCTATTACCCAAGATCAATGCCTTTCCTCTTTCTTTTGCCCACTCAAAAAATTCAACTAACCATAACTCCTCCATCTGTTTATTCCTTTCTTTTCTCTCTCCATGGTCATTTTCGTATCTAGTTTAGATTCTCACTCCTTCATATTTAAATTATTATAATAGCCTCCTAACAAATCTTCCCACCCCATAATTGGAAACTGACTCCACTTGTTGAATCCCACCTAGTCTTCCAAGGTCATACGAAACACCTGTTTAATGAAATCTTTCATAATGTCCTTAACTGGCAACGTTCTCTTGACTCTCCATGGTTCTTTTTGGTATTTCTCTCATGACCTATAAAAATTTCACCTTGATTGTAATTACTTCCATGCTATATACCACTAAAGTGGTTGATAAACTTCTTTAGATCAGAGTTTTTTGTTTGCTTTGGTGTTTTGCCTTTTTATTTACCTATGTGCAGCAGGTGGGGAGAGGCTTTTATTGATCTTTGTGTGCCTAAGAGAGTGACCTATAAATAGGAGGCAAAATGACACCTGAGGCATTCGACTGTGTCTCTAGCTCTTACCTGTTCTTGTTGCTGCTTGGCCAGCTCCATTTGCTGACGCTGCTTCTCAATCTGAGATGCAGCCAGTTTCTTCTGCTCATCGTGGGCAGCCAGCAGCTGCTCTCGTAGGCTGGTCAGCTGATTGATCATACCCATGAGCTGCCTCTCCTTCTCAGCTAGGCTTTCGGGAGTCCCTGAAAATAACATGGCAATAAAACATACAAGAAAAGAGAAAGGAGAAAAGAGTGATTTTTCAACAGCAATGACTCTGCTGTATAGAGAAGTATTTCAAATATACGGCTTAATACACAAACAAACATATCGTTCCATTCTTTTAGATTTTAACTCAACAGTAAAAAGTGATGGCTATTTACCCATTACAAAATATCAGAATGAACAAAATTTTGATTATCTTTTATTCATGACAAGTAATAATCTACAGCTTTTTCCCCTTATATTTTATGAGTAAATAAAAAATTGTTGGCTGAGCATCTACTGTTTTTAATGTTCTATGCTTGGGCCTGAGGGAAATAAAAAGAAGTCTAAAGCACGGTTCCTGGCCCTAAGTAGTTCTTTATCAAATTAAAGAGACAAGACAAAAACATGAAAATTTAATAACCATAATTATTACGACATCAAAATATTATCAGTGATATAATTCTCCTTTTCTTAAAAAAAGAATCTCGAAGAATCAGAACTAAGAAATTCTACATTAAAAGAGGAAAAAATCTATTAGCCAATCAAGTTTAGACTGTTTGCTCATATGCCACTCAGAGGCTTTCTTCAAAAATAGAATGTAGCTAGTAGAGAAAATACTCAAGTTTGAGAACACAAATTTAGGCTATCATGAAATAACCAAATGTGGTTGGAAAACTAACAGAGGACATTATGGCCACCCAAGATAATACAAATTCAAGATTTGGAGAAGTCATGGAAGCCATTTAAAACAAATAGCATGCTCAAGATATTTGAAACATGCCAGTGAATCTTCTTAGCCAAGTTAGAATACTTATTTGATACACCAGAAATGTGAGCAGTTCATTGAAACAGAAACAATATCACTTTTAATTGTTCTTTTAAAATTCTCCAGATAGACAATACCCCTATGGTAAAGTACTAGCAGTAAGAGAAAACATACTTTTTAATCACAATTTTCACTTCAAACATAAGACACTAAGCACTATTTTAATAATGCATTTGCCACCTGTATATGTAATTAGATAGAAGGATCTCTTCTAACTCAGTCACCCTTCCCCATCCCACTGCATTTCTTCCTACCAATTTATGCTGAAAAAGCATATGCTTCTTTAGGAAATAGTAGTGGCTTATAATTTTCATGTGCCCATTTGGAATGGAAATAAAGTTTCTAATGTAATTTACAGAGGCTAGAGAATAAACATCCAAAAAAGAAATTTTGAGAGAATACAAAGCAGGAATCATGCCTATACTCCTTCTTATTATCAATACATAGCCTTATTCAGGGCAAGTGCTCAATAAATTGTTGCTAATAATTTATTACACCTCAGATATGTGGATTCCATCAAACAGAAGAACAATTACTGTAAGAATAATAACTATATGACTATTATAATTAGAATTCTAATATTAAATAATATAAATATATATTGGGAAGATTTTTTATGAAAATATTCAAATGATGGTAAAATGTGAATCTTCATACATCGTCAGCAGAGGAGAAAATTGCTACCACATTTCTAGGAATTGGAAGAAGTAATACGTGTCTTGTAATCCTCATAACCTTCAAGGGGGTAATTTCAATTCTAAAAATCTAGCCCAAGAAAATTGTAAGAAGTGAAGTTAAGTATTAACACATGTTTTAAATAAAATACTAGAAATAATCTAAATGTCAAATAGGAATAATCAAATAATTATGGGACATTCATGTGGTAGAGTATTTTGCATCCACGAAGAAAGTACTTTTTAAGACTATTTAATGACATGTGAACTTTTCATGATATAAAGCTAGGTAAAAAAGTTGGATAGAAATGAAAACTTGTATAAACATTTCAATACACGCACATATCTGTATTTCTAGAAAAAAAGACTGGAAGAAAATCTGTTTATACATTAATAGTAGCTATTTCTAGGTAGTGAGATTATAGATCATTTTAATGTTTTCTTCATATTTTTATGTTTAGAAAATTTTCTATAATGAATATTATTACTATTATTATTTACATACTCATAAAATGTATTTCATGTAAATATGTGGAAGTATAAGATAAAAGCTTAACGTGGCATTATCCATTTTAATAACTGACATAACACCAATGTGTAAAGAAATATACTTATTTGATGATGAGTATAAACAAATACCATTTTGGCATTCAGAATATGAAAGATTAAAATCCTTTTGTCTTCACTTAGTCACATAGACATAAATAGATCTACTTGAAATTCAAAACAAATCCAATTTTATAGTCCATATTCAATTCAAACTTTTTGAACCTTTAGCCAACCTCCTTTCATCTTGACCTTCTCACATGACTTCTCAGACACAACTCCACTGTTTCAACTCCTACTTAGCTAACCTTTTCTTCTCAGTCTTTTTCACTGGTTTTTCATCTTCTGCCCACTCACAAATGCTCATATTCTTCTCAGTCCCATCCTTTGCCTTTTTTTGGCCTTGAGCTAACTAACGTGATTCAATTACTAAACTCTAGTTTTTCCTAAGACATATACTTTGTATATTATAAACTCTCTGAGTTTTACAATGGATACTGTCTCAGAGTCAATGAACTAAGGTATATGCCAACCCTAAGCTTGTCCTCCAGCCCTGGTAACTTATTTCTAGATGCAGAATGGATATCTCTGAGTGTGCACCTCAGTTTTAAAATTTAACACATATAAGGTGGAACTCTCCATTTTCCTCCAATTTTTAAAGCATAATTACCCAATCAACTTTCTAAGCTAGAAATATTAACAACATCCTCAATTCTCTTCTCAAATATCTATCCCTGTATCCATTATATCAACAAATAATGATAATATTTCCTCAAAACAGCTTTGTTTTGTTTTTTCTAATGTCCTTAATTAAAATTATTTTTTTGAATGTTATTATGTTCACTTGAGTAAATAATCAGTAATTACAAAATGGTATAGAGTGAAAGATCTCTCAACAATGTCCTTCAAAGGAAATCACCATTATTATTTTCTTGTATATCCTACCTTTGTTAATAAAGATTTAAGCATATACCAGAATATTTCTGTATTAGTTTACCAGAGCTGCTGTAACAAAGTACCACAGATGGGCTGCTTTAACAACAGAAATTTAAACTTACTGGCTAGAAGTCCAAGACCATGGTGTCAGCAGGGTTGGTTTCTTCTGAGGACTATGAGGATAAGGTAAGGATCTGTTCCTGACCTTTCTCCTTGGCTTGTAAATGGCCATCTTTTCTCTGTGTCTTCACATCATCTCTCTGTATATGTCTGTGTCTAAATTTCCTCTTCTTATTAGGACACCAGTCATATTAGATGAGGGCCCACCCTAATGACCTCATTATAACTTAATTACCTCTGTAGAGACCCTATCTCCAAGTACAGTCACATTCTGAGGTACTAGGGATTAGAAATTCAACATACAACTTTTGGGGGGGGGCACAATTCAACTCGTAACAATTTCTTTTACACAAATGACAACATAACATAAATACTGCTGTATAGTACCCAGGGAGAGTTCTTGTTCTGGCTTCCCTTCTCCATTTTCACCATCTTTTTCATGAATTGTTGTAGCAAACTTTTAACAGAACTTCCTGTCATTAATTTTTTCCTCTACATATCTATCCTCTAAACTCGTACCAAAATTATCTTCCTAGAAAACAAATCTAATCATATCACTTCCTCTGTTTAAACACTTCTACTTATTCCTCATTGTCTTCAGAATAAAATGTCAACTCATTCTTAAGAATGAATGAGGTCCTTCCAAATATGACTCAACCTTCCCACTTCTTTGTACATCCTAAATTCTAGCCACACTGAATTTTCTACCATCCCCCCTCAAATGTGACCCTTCACAAATGCCTTGCTCAGCTCATTCCCTCCCTAAGCATTCATTCTTCATGTTCCAGCTCATGTATCTTGTTCTTGATGACTCTTTTCCTGATTCCCACTGACAACAGTTGTTCCCTTTTTTGGGAATCCATTCTCAACACCTAGTATAGGACTTGGCATATAGCAAATCACCTAAAATTGTTTAATGAATGATGTAAAGAATAAAGTCCCTTCTCCTTAAACCACTCTCAAGTTTTGGTATGCCATTTGGCCAAAAGAAATAGGGAGATATTCTATCTTATATGACTTGCATAGGAGTCCTGGTTTTAGCTTAAGGAGAGTTGCGCCAAGGAACTTAAGCTTTTTCAAAAGAAATATTCTCCATTTTTATAAAGTTCTAAACTAAGATAAAGGAGGAAGTCCTATGGCTTCATCTCTAAATTATCATGTTCTTCATAATCATCTCCCAGTGGGGAGAGTCTAATAAGTGGTCTGTGAACATTAGAGAAACTAGTAATAGTCACAAAACATCCTATACTTAGGGGAAAAAAAAAATGAGGGCTAGCCCAGTGGCATAGTGATTAGGTTTGAACACTCCACTTCAGTGGCGTGGGGCTCACAGGTTCAGATCCCGGGTGCAGACCTACACACCTCTCATCAAGCCATGCTGTGGCAGTGTCCCACATACAAAATACAGGAAGATGGGCACAGACGTTAGCTCTGGGACAATCTTCCTCAAGCAAAAAGAGGAAGATTGGGCAAATGTTAGCTCAGGGCCAAGCATCCTCACCAATAACAGACTTTAAAAAGTCTATTAAAAAAAAATAAAGGAAATTAACTAGATCATCGGAAAATCAGAGGCCAAGCAAACAAAAAGAGGAGCTACTGTTTCTTCACTTAGATTCAGATTTTTAAGATTCATACAAGTCTATAACACTATGGAGACAAGGTCATGTATATATGGTCTAGCTCCATCAGATTCAGATAGCTAACGGTATGAGTTCATGTATGTGTGTCATTGTTAGTAATTTATTTTCATGTTTCAGTTATTTGTACTCTTGTATGGTTTAATCTATGCTAGTCCTGCTTCGATCCCCTTAGATTGAAGGATTACTTAAGTAAGAGAGAGAAATATTCTACGTTTCAGTTCTTCCTACTGCCTAGTAACTACAGGCATGGTTAT